TTTTCGTTCTCTCTCATTTCGCGCATGCGTATAGCCATATATTCTGAGAGAGGGGATCGAAAGAAAGAACGAGTCGAACGAGAAAAGTTTCGTCATTACATGACCGGACAAGCCTGATTAAGCCTGATCACTTTGGAATCAAATAAAGAATTGAATTTGATAAGGTTAAGGGCTCTCGATGAATAATATCAATAAATATTAATGATCAAAATCTATTATTTATACCTCTATAATTCCAGTTATGCGAGCATATTGGCCAGCACCACCAGATTGTTTCTTATAAAGATAGTCAAATTCACATGGTTTAGTTAAGTCTCGCGGAAAGAAACTTTTGGCTTTCCAAGCATGACCGAACAAGCCTGATCTCTTTGTAATCAAACAAAGAATTGACTTTGATAAGGTTAAAGGTTTCCCAGTGCCAAGGGTTGCTCTTTCAATTCCTTATTCTTTCTTTCGATCCCCTCTCTCAGAGTATACGGCTATACGCATGCGCGAAACGAGAGAGAACGAAACGGTTCCAAATTAGAGTCCCTATACTAAGAGTCTGGCCATGAAGGAAGATATAAGGAGACTCCACTCGGTCTCGCCAGTCTACAAGACATGAACCCATTTTAGGTTTCGAGTTCCGTTTCCGATTCTCGACACTCGCAGCGCTCGTGAATTTAGTAGTGCTGCGCATAATGAGTGCGAGTAAGAGAAATGATCATTTCTCTTACTCGCACTCATCAGAATCGGAAGCTGAACTCGAAACCTAAAATGGGTCCACTTTTATTTTACGGAGTGGAGTCTCCTTATATCTTACTTCCTGGGTCTGGCCAAGGTCTAGTTCTTTGGTCTAGTTCGACAAAACATGGCGTCGTCGTACATAACCAAAAACGTGATGTGATTGATGTGGTACTGCACTATTCGATAAAATAATGAAACGGTATATTACATTTCGCATAAAAATTGATTGCAACAAAGGACGATTACGGAATAAGAATTATATAGTAGTAAAACTATGGCTAGGAATGCTGCTATTAAATGATATAATTTACTTATATCATTTTAACGTATTTATAAGTAAATTAGAGGATACGTTTACTTATGAATACTATTAAAATTTATTTGTATTTGTATTTTTACATTAAATAAAATGTTAAAAACAACTTTATTATCTCATTGTTCTGTTCCTACTGATTGAATAAAGCTGGTGCTGTTTAATAATAATGCTGCTATTAAATGATATAATTATTTATTTATGAATACATTAATTGAAATTATATTTGTATTTTCACATTAAAAAAATTGTTAAAAACGGCTTTATTACATTATTGTTCTATTCTTATTATTTCTATGATTCTTACTAGTTGAATTATACCGCGTCCAAGATATTAATTCGAGACACTTCATTGGCTGTGCCATATTTTGTCGAAACCAATAGGCTGGATGACAACCTTGGCCAGACTCTTAGTATAGGGACTCTATTCCAAATGAGTGCAACCTTTTCTAAATAGAATTACCCCCACTCCTCAAATTTCCGACAATGCGTACTCTAGAGACCTAGAAAACAGAGATGCGTCATTGAAGGGTATGGCTTGATTGACTGTCTAAATCACGTGGTCAGAAGCCATTTTAATTCACTATTGCATCTAATAGATATAGTTTTATAACGTATGTACATATATATAGAGAGAAAAATTTAGACAATACAGTGTCGAAGTGCAATAAAAAACTATTATTATGGTTTAAATATTCTTATTTGTGTGAATATTTAATATCGGACTTAACCTAACCTAATCTAATCTTTCTACCTTTTGCATCAACTGTCATCAGCTTATTGGTCAAGAGCACTTATATTGAATTCAAATGGCGGTGGTTACCTAACCCAACCGACGCAATATCGCATCTCTGTTTTCTAGGCCTCTAGCGTACTCTAGTACTACTATCTCTATGCTCGAGAACTTCCTGCTCGAGACCTAGGACCATAACATATATGCCTAGGACAGTCAGTTCAGTGAACTACTGTACTGAGTGCCGCTGTACTGGCGTACTGCTAAAAAGAACAGCGAACATGAAGTAATTTCCGTCAAAAAGAACGCTT